TTCCCGATAACTATGCACATGATTACATACCAAAGTATAGCTGTCATGCCAAAGATATTTGTCATGCCATAGTTTAACAGTCATGCCAGTTCCACACATCACCTCGGCATGGTTCCACCTGAGTTCCAGGTCTTTCTAAACCAGGTCCTTTTAGCTCCTGTGCCCACCTGCAGCATTTAGCCATGAGATAGCAAGACTGGCAAAGTCTGGGGGAGGTGCTCCTTGCTTACCATCTTGGCCAGGAAAGTTGCCCTCCTAGCCCCTAAGAGGATTTGGTCTCTCAAGACTATTAAGACCCCAAACCCAGCTGGCTATTCTCCTTCCCAGTTTCCTGCTAATACCACCCAGCTGCTTTTCTTCCAACCTTCTTCCCACCTCCCCCCCCCCCCCGTCTTTTGACCACTCCCAGCTCCTACAGCACTTTGAGGCTGTGTCTTTCAAGAAGTCCAGTACTGCAGTCCTTCAAGTCTGCTTCTTCATGGCCCCAGCATACCCTTTCCCTCTGCTGTGAAACTGGGCTGTGGCCTTCAAGTGGAGTCCGTTCTCACCCAGTCTTAGGAGGGTTTGGGGATTCAGGGGTGTGACAGAACCATTTCTATTTCTGGCAAATGATATACATATTTAATCTTCTCCGATGTACAGTTTTAGGATGTCTTCAGGCCTGTTCTCTTTACTGTAATGTTGTATTCCAACTAGGGGTGGGCACAAAATAAAAACCATTTTTTTTAAATTCGGGTGTATCGAACCCCAAAAATATCAGTATTTCCCAATATTCCTGAATCCCAAAATTGGTATGATATTTGAATTCGGGATTGCTGAATTTTTCTGCTCTGCATTTAAAGGGATGGTCTTTTAAAATGCATTAGGCTTCTCCTGCCCCGCGGTTTAAACACAACTTGGAGGGCAGGTAGAGAGGCACCCTGGGGAGGTCCGCTGCCAGTTTGATGCCTCTAGCTTGCAGGGGGGCTGTTCGACATATTCTCCCCTTTTGCACATGGGACCCTAGGATCTCCCCCCCAAAAACCAATTTGCACACAACTTAAGAGGGTGGATCCCAGGGATGTCCGATGCCAGTTTGATGTCTCTAGCTTGACACACACCCTCTCCTTTTGCACATGGACCCTAGGATCTCCCCCCCCCAAAAAAAACCCCAATCTGCACACAACTTGGAGAGCAGATAGAGGGGCACCCTGAGGAGGTCTGCTAACAGTTTGATGCCTCTAGGTTGCAGGGGAGCCATTTGACACATTGGACCCTAGGATCTCCCCTCCCCCAGCAAATCTGCACACAACTTGGAGGGCAGGAAGAGGGGCACCCTGGGGAAGTCTCCTGAGGAAGTCTGCTGCCAGGTTGATGCCTCTAGCTTGCAGGGGGGCTGTTTGACACATTCTCCCCTTTTGCACACTGGACCCTAGGATCTCCCCCTCCCCAACGCCAATTTGCACACAACTTAGAGGGTGGATTCCAGTGACGTCCGATGCCAGTTTGATGTCTCTAGCTTGACACACACCCTCTCCTTTTGCACATGGACCCTAGGATCTCCCCCCCCCAAAAAAAACCCCAATCTGCACACAACTTGGAGAGCAGATAGAGGGGCACCCTGAGGAGGTCTGCTAACAGTTTGATGCCTCTAGGTTGCAGGGGAGCCATTTGACACATTGGACCCTAGGATCTCCCCTCCCCCAGCAAATCTGCACACAACTTGGAGGGCAGGAAGAGGGGCACCCTGGGGAAGTCTGCTGCCAGGTTGATGCCTCTAGGTTGCAGGGGGGCCGTTTGACACACTCCCGTCCCTTTTGAACATTGGCCCAACCCTAGGATCCGCCCCCCGTGAATCTACACTCACCTTGGAGGGACGGTTGTTTCAAATGCACTTTGCAAGCCGCGGTGCAAGTGAACCTGGAAGGGTGAACCTTCTGGGTTCACATGGTGCAGCTTGCAAAACACATTTAAAGTGATGGTCCCTTCAAATGCATTTTGCAAGCCGCGGCGTGACTGAATCTGGAAGGGTGAACCTTCTGGGTTCACTTGCATTGCAGCTTGCAAAACGCATTTAAAAGGTTGGTCCCTTTAAATGCATTAGGCTTCTCCTGCCCCGCAGTTTAAACAGCAGGCCAGGTAAACCTGTGATTCGGTACTGCCATGCCAAGCTGAATAATATCGGCTTTTATTGGGATTCTCTATATTGGTAGCCAATTATAGATTAGAGAATCCAATTCGGTTTAGGAAATAAGGGGTTTATTTTGGCTCGGTAAATAGTGAATGCACGCCCCTAATTCCAACCCCAACGAAACAGATGGGGTGGGTTAGCCTTCTCGTAGGGGAGAATGCTTTACTGGATTTTAAGACAAAAGGGGAAAGGGGGGAATACATAACCTTCACAGATCTAAAAAAATGCCATTTTAAATACATAGAATCCCACAAAACATTTGTCCTAACAAAAGTATGCAGGTCTCATTGTTAGTCAGTCCATATAGACCATATAGATCTTGCAGTATTTCAAACACTTGGTTTGCCCTTTGAAAATTATTCATGATCAGCAAAAGTGTCTCCTGGGCAGTTTGAAGACAAATCTTCTTGATCTGAATATAGAAAAGAGAAAAATTATATAAATGGCAGAAGAAAATCTCATTAGACTAAAGTAAAATACTCTGAAGATATTATGGTTTGGAAAAGAAAAACAAGGTGACAGTGTTACAAGTGATTCAGAAAGCTAGGACTTGTTTACAAGTTCTTCTCTTGAGGGTACTTCCTTTCTTCTCCAATATTTAGCACAAAGTATTCTTGCTGCTGTTGTTACATGTACTATAAGATACAAATCTTGTTTATTATAGTTTTCTGGTATAATATTCAATAAGAATAATTCAGGTACAAAAGGGATAGGTCTTTTTAACATTTTTTGTAAAATTTCATGGATCCAAAATGAATATTTTTTCACTTCATCACATAACCACCACATAGGGAAAAGGACCCGGTATTGTTTTGACATTTCCAACATATGTTTGGTAAGTTAGGAGAAATCTTTGCTAATTTATCTGGAGTAATATGCCATCTATAAAACATTTTATAAATATTTTCCTTATATGGTATAGCTTTGGTAATCTTAACATTTTTCTTCCAGATCTGTGCCCATTGGTCCATTTTGATAGTATGCCCCAAATTTTGTGCCCATTTCACCATAGAATTTTAACTACTTCATCCTGAATCTTATCATCAAATTTTGTGCCGATTTTACCATAGAATTTTAACTACTTCATTCTGAATCTTATCATCTAACAGTAATACATATAATTTCTTAATTAATTTCTCATCAGAATATATCAATATTTTATCCTTTTCTGTTATTCTTACATAAAAACCCATTGGCTTATCTTTGGCATATCTTGATTCTAACTGCACTCTTTCTCACCATGATAAACCTTCTGTTTGTTTTAGTTCCATTATTATTATCTAACAAATCTTCATATCTCAACAGTGTGTCTATTTGAAACAAATTTGGGTTTGTAAAAGCTTCCAATGGTGCAACCCATTTTGGAATCTTGGTATAGAAGCGGGTTTTAATTTCTTCCCACACTTTCAACAAAGATGTTCTTATAAGATGTTGTTTAAAATACTTATGGGAATTTGCTTTCCCATACCATACAAATACATGTCAAGCTATTAGTAGATCATGTCCTTCTAACTTCAATAGTCTTGTATTTTCTAATGTAATCCAGTCCTTTAACCATGTCAAGGATGCTGCTCTGTAGTATAAAAGCCAGTCTGGTGACGCAAATCCAGATCTTTCCTTTGCATCTTGTAGTGCTTTAAGTTTTATTCTTGGTTTTTTATTTTGTCGTATAAATTGTGTCATCCTTTTGTCTAGTTCTAGTTATTTTTGATTTTGAAGATAGGAATTGTTTGGAATAGGAAGACCAATCTTGGTAATATACTCATTTTAATTGTAGCTACTCTTCCCATCAAAGACAATCATAGGTTTTTCCATCTTTCCAAATCTTTCTTAATTTCTTTTATAAGTTCCATATAGTTATCTTTCAAAGAACTACATTTGCTTGTAATATTTATTCCTAAATATTTCACCTTCTTTTGTATTTTCAAACCTGATAGTTCTTGTATCTGTTGGGCTTGGGCCTTTGTCATGTTTTTAACTAACATTTTTGTTTTGTTATTATTAATTTTCAGTCCAGCCAGCATCCCGTAATCCTGTAAAGAACTTAGAAGTTGTTTAATAGAACCCACTGGATTCTCTAGGATAAAAACCAGGTTATCAGCAAAGGCTTGTAGTTTATATTCTTCTCCTCTTGTTTTAAGACCTTGAATTCATCCATCAGCTCTAATCATATCATTTAATATTTCCAAAACAAATATAAATAATACTTACCTGGCAGGGGAAACACCTTGATCACACACTCCATGCCACTTTCAAGTTCTTTGATTGTTGGATTTAATGGTACCTTTTGCATAACTTACAACCATTATATGGCCGTTCAGGGGTGACTTTGCAGTCAGTACGGTATTGCCCTGAGGTATTTGAATGCGGTTTTGAGCGGCACTTTTTCCTCCCAGTTGAGAAAATGCAGAGCAAATGCTAGATGCAGAATCGCCCTTTGTCTCAAATGACTAAAATGTCCCACCCTGATACAGATATTTGTTTACACTTGTGACCCAGCAGAGAAACCTGAGGGAAATGCAGGAGCTGTCTTGTTTTTAAACCCTTTTAAAATTGTACTTATGGCAGAATAACTTTCAAAACAGAATAAAGATTTTATTCAACTGGCAGGGAAATATATATACATATATATTAGGAGAAGTCAAGGATTAGAAACTCTGAGGTAAAACTTTTTTCCTATATACAGAACTGAAATCTTAAAACATACAAGAGAGTGTTGTTTTAACTTCCTTTCAGAGGTTTTTAGTTATTTTCAGTGAGGGGTACTTTTCTTAGTTTGGAGTAGTGGTGAGGAGTGTGGATTCTAATCTCAGAAATTCCCCGCTCCTCCACATGCAGCTGCTGGTGTGACCTTGGGTCAGTCACAAGTTCTTTCAGAGATGTTCTCTCATGAGCAGTTCTCGAAAGAGCTCTCTCAACCCCACCTACCTCACAGGGTGTCTGTTGTGGGGAGGGGAAGGTAGAGGAGATTGTAAGTTGCTCAGAGACTCCGTTGGGTAGTGAAGGGTGGGGTATAAATCCAACCTCTTCTATATTTCAGCAATAGCACAAGATCTTAATAGTGTTCCCTGGAGAATAGCTCTTTATTAGGACTTCTAGATTTCTCCCCTTAGAAAATTACAAGTTTCCACTAACTCCTGAGGTGTCTAAAGCTTATTCCCCTCTACCACAGAGCCAGGTTCTCCTCAGAGCACAACTCCTTTTTACTAGTAGGGATTATTCTTCCTTTTTAGTGCTGCTACAACCTATTCCAGTCAGTCTCACTCCAGCTCCATGATTTCCAGAGATGGCTTTTTCCAGGGTACAGAAGGAGAGATGGCATCGTAGACTTGAGAGCCAGCAAAAGGAGAGCTCCAGGAAATGCAACACAAGGAGGAGAACGGTGGTCTGAATGGTTCTTTGGGGCAATATTGACATCATGGGTGTGGTTCTTCGGGGCAATGTTGACATCATGGGTGTTGGCCATGGGGCAAGCCCAACCCCTCCCAACAGAGGTGGCCCTCCTCCCACTGGTGCCAAGGACCCACCCCATGAGCCACATGCCAGGATCACCCATAGGGGATGAGGTGACAGAAGGAAGGAACATGAGGAAAGAACAGAGACCACGTTCTCAATCCGCCCCATCCAGAATAGGGTTGCCCAGCATGGATAGATTGACCTTCAGAAAGGACAGTTTGTCCACCCTGGCTGGCTCTAGGTGGGCTTGATGTGGGCAAAGGATGTCTTCCAGATGGAAGGACACCCACTTGCTCTGGACACTAGTGGGAGTGCAGGAGAGTAGATTGGTGGCCACGCTGGTGAGATCAGGCCATATGGTGCTCTTGTGTGGCCAGGACTTGAGTGGGTCCGAGTTGACAGGCTCGGGACTCAGCCAGGAACTCGTGGACCATCACTTTAGCAGAATCCTCTGCTATCACATTCCTGGTGCCCACAACAGTGCTCTGTACCTCCCACCTCAAGACAGAAAACCAGAACTCCTGATGTTTTTGCCCACATGTCCTCTCCATCCTGGACCCCTGCTCTCTTTTACAACCTCATCCAATTCACTGCCTGCCATCCCCCCCTTCCTCCTCCTCTCTCTCCTCAGCCTCCCCCTTCTCCCCTTCCTCTGCCTCATCATCCACCTCCCTCAGCTGTCTCTGGCCCCAGCCATGGTGTTGGAACCTCCGCACCTGGCGGCACAGCTTATGCTCCCATTGGTGAAGCTGCACGTTTCGGAGGGTTATGTTCCCTGTTAATTTTGTATGCACTCTCACAACACGCTCACAACTAATCAAACATCATCAGCACTTTATGAATTATTAATTATTTATAATGGAATTGTTTTTAGATGATTTTATGTTGTTGTAATTGTTATTATGCATTAACTTGTGTAAGCCGCCCTGAGCCTGCTTTGCGGGGAAGGCGGGGTACAAATTAAATAAATAAATCATAAATAATTTTTTTATCAGAAACAATAACCCTTTACTATTTGGCTTGACTGGGAGTTACTGTTAACCCATTCACTCTACCCAAATCTTTCTTCCAGTATCTGTTGTTTGTGTAAAGAAGTATTTTTTTTTTTTTAGCTTTCTGGACTCAGAATCACAATTCTCCCTCAGAGTAGTTCTAAAACTATTAGGGCAAAGGAGTCTCTTTTCTTCTGTCTTTCTGACTAACTCTGTCAGAACACTGACTCCAGTTAACCCTTCCTTTGTCAGAAGCTGTCTTTTTTGGCTTGCTCACCCCAGACCCAAAGATGAAAGACCCTTTATCCAGAACAGCTGATATGAAACTTGCTCTCAGCTAATGCTGGCCAATCAGAGAGTGTGAAGAGCACCCAATCACACAAGCTCTCCACTCCAAGGCAGATTAACTCCTGATCTCCCAGTCTCTCTGAAATAGCATTTTAAAACCTGCTTTTCTGTGCAATCCATCACAGCTAGCAATAAGGCACATAGGTTAACTCTATGGCAACTTTTAATGTCCTTAATGAGCAGCAAAAAGCAGCCAATACAGTAGCTGGATGTGCATCACCTTACTTGGAAAGGGTTACTGGACAGTCAGTATGCAGTGGGTTAGAGCATCAAACCAGGAGCTGGGAGACCTAGGTTTGACTACCCACTCTGCCAAGGAAGCTTATGGGATGACCTTGGGCTAGTGACATATCTTCAGCCTAACCTACCTGATAGGTTTGTTGTGAGAATAAAGTGGAAGAGAGGAGAATGATGAAAGGCACTATGAGTCCCCATTGGGGAACAAGGTAGGGGATAAATGAATTTAAATAATAATAAATTGGATTTAAAAGGGTCAAATTTTGGAAGGCAATTGGAATTTTTCTGGGTATTGAAATGGGAGGGAGTGCTACATAGAATACTATGTGCCCTAAATGATTCAAGATAATCTCATTTTGATTTTCAAGTGATAAATGCAATTTAGAGTGTTGTGTATTCAGTTTTGATCCTACTAGAGCAAGAGGATGACTGGGCTGCAAGCAAATTTTTCTTGGTATTTTTTAAGTAAAATGGATTTTGTCCTTACCTTCATAGGCTGTTCCACACCAGATGCAGTAGAGATAATGTTCCCTTAAATATGCTGTCAAGATTTGTAACTTATCTGATGCCTGTGCAAAATACAAAAATGATTGTTCCTTTAAGTATAAAACTCCAAAGAACTGATTAATTACATACGAAGAATGAAGAGATCACATTTTACAATCTCTCCCCCCTGCCTATGTGATATAAATATGTGAAGAGTTCCCTCTTCACAGCGAGTTTGGCTACTACAGATTGCCTGTGATGGTCTGATCACATGGGGATTTAACTTCATTTCCACCTTGTAAGAAGGGCATTCAAAGAAATATAAACATCATCCTGTTATGATATTCTTATTAGTGGACTTTCTGCTGCTCAGCTGGATATGGGAAGACTTGGGAAAAATTCAGAAAACACCTGCTCCCCCCCATAACAATTTATTTATTTTATTTTATTTATTTATTTTTCGCATTTATATCCCGCCCATCCCCGTAAATGGGCTTAGGGTGGGTCACAGCATGTCAATAAATACAATAAAGTTTAAAACACATTAAAACAAAGAAAAACAGTAGTCATGCTTGCCATAGGGAGAATCCAGCCCATTGATGTAACTAAGTATGGTTGGTTATACATACATACACACACAAACCTTTATTGGCATAACACAACAGAAAGGGCAGTGAAACAGTTAGAAAAATAAATAAACAAATTAATAGGTCATGGCAAATTACACCAAGCTGCCCCAACAGAAGATCATTTAGAAGCTTCTTATAAATAATATATATAATAATATACTCAGTTAAAAATATAACAATTCTAAAAAACACAGGGGGATTAAGACTGGTACGCCCTTACCCTAAGCTTCCAGACATAGGCTAAGAATTCAGCAACAGACAAAGTAAGTGCCGAGAACTTATCAGACAATAAAATTTTAAGATCTTT